CGCATCGTGAGTTTGAGGGGAAATGGTAAGGAATATAGGAGTTATTTTGTTTTATTATTTATTAAGAGTAGAACAGTCTTTTTAGTTTTTCTTTGTTTAGCATATATATAGTCTCTTTGTATTTAAGTTAAATTATCTTTTTGTATTCAATTACATTATGCAAAGTCAATGAAACCCTAGCCTCCTCTTCTTTTTCTTTATTTCTTTGGATTGTTTAACACATAGATCACTCGATTCCTTTCTGTTATACATTTTACTTGAATTCACAGTTTGTTCCATGCACCTCATGTCATTCCGCCCATATCCGTACACAGTTGAAAATTTGATGTGGCCATTAATTTCAAGACTCTGGTGGATATTCATTGATAATGCTAATGAAAAATGGAACAAACTGCTGTTCATGTTGGTTTTGAGGTGGTTTTACTATAGGAGGAAAATGTCTCAAGAAGTTTGTCGTAGTTACCTGGCGCCAAAATAAGGCAATCATATTGGATTTGCATCTTTTGGTGTCCGATTTTTTATGTCTCAGCCAAGGTAAATCATGTTGATCAATGTGGACAAGTTATAATGTTAGTATGAACGTAAAAGAGATGCTACTAATCAGAAAAATTGAACAAAATTTGTAGATCTAAAAAAAAATGCGACAAAATCTCGCTACTGTGTCTGTAGAAAAAAATGGTAAAAAATTCGTTCTCCTTGTTGATAAATAAATCGTGCATGGCAGCTCAGATTCGACTAGAGTCCCTTCCAAAAATGAAACGTCGTCCCCAATCAGAAACAACCAACATCCTTGTGCGCCAGCTGACTTGCTTGCTGGATTTTGAAGTAGTGGCAAACGTATTAATAGAGCAGAATAAACATACACGTATAAAGAGAGAGACTTGCATGAATGAGAATATATTTACCTGGCATACACAGAGTACCAGAGCCACTGGGAGCTGTGGCCAATAGAAACCCAGTCTCCAGGAAGTTGAGCTGCAGCTTGCTCTCCTCCTAATGGTGCAAATTGTCCCAAGTGCTTGTACCTTCAGTCATTCAACAACCATGTAATCTATCTCTTCCAGTCATTACAAGTTACTGAATAAAGCTTAAACTTGACTAATGATTAAAAAATTCAAAGTCGCCCTTTGCCATTGCGACACTAAATATCTCGAGTTGAGAATCGTCACAACCCCTTAAGAACAACAACAAAATAATTCTAATTTTTAATATTACTGGGGTGTCCTACAATTATATTTCATGTCAGTTGTCTTCCAACCTTTTAAACTGAGATCACATCACCCTCTATCGATTGCAGTAACATCCACTTGTTATTATATATTTTCTTTTCTTTTCTTATCCATTTTGACACACTAATTTTCTTTAGGTTCATTTTATAGATTGTCCTTTAACAGCCTAACACTCAAGTCACTTCTTTTGGGATAAGATCTGATACTAATTACCTGAATGGGCGGAATCGATGCCTTCCTGATCCTCGGAACCTTAATGGACCTTCAGGATACATTTCGCAGATCTCCATTCGATTGAAACAATCAGCAAGGTAAGCACCTTGTTGGGCAGCTACCTAAAATTTTTAAAAAAAAAAAAA